CGGGTCTGGGCTGGGGATTCGAACCCGCCACCTTAGGTGTATGTGGCTGGCGCCTTAGCCGGTTGAGCTATAGGCGCTGAGCCATTTTTTATATTTCCATGGTTGGCAGGTTCATTTGGGAAATTCTTTTATGACATCTCTTTGGTGTCAGTGGGGCTGCATTGGGTTGGGAGCTTAGATAAGGCTAAAGCATCCAGGATGGCTTTATTCATTTGAATGGTGCCCCAGGAAAGGTTGACGGAGTGACTGAGGACAGCTGCCAACTCTTTTAAGGCTGAGGACTGGAGCTGGTGTAGTGTCATTATTGCTGAATTCTTTTGGTCAGAGCAAGTTCCCAGGTCCCAGGCATGTAGCAGTGTGAGACAAAGGTGAGGATGGCAGTAGGACCAGTTTGTAAAGAGAAGAACTTGAAATGATTTCAGCCACAGGGATAATCCGGGAAGTTCCCTGGAGGAGAGATTGAAATGTAATAAGATGAAAGACTGAGAGATTAGGGAAAAGATTATGGCATTAATTCAGTCAAGAAATAAAGAACATCTGACATGTGGCAGCAACTATAAGGATAATAAGAAGGCATTGGATTATAAAAATATTTAGTAAGCAAAATTGTAATCTTTGTTGCTTAGCTTTGGGGAGAGAAGGGAAGAAGGAGTGAAAGACTTCCAAATACCTGTCTAGGATGAATGGATGGATTATGTTGGCAGAACCTATGACAGAGAATACAGGGGCAGAATTTCGATTTTGATGTTTTGAATTTAGGTGCACAAAATATTGAGGAAGAAATGTTTTAGCCAGTCATTGAAAATACGAGTTTGAAGCTCAGGAGTGTAATTGGAGCTGGAGGTTAGGTCTTTTTAGTTTTTAGTGTATCAGTGCTAATGGGATTGATGCAGGATTTAGAAGGTAATTTATCAGCACAGACATTCTTGGCAGGGGGTAGTTTGGAAACAATAACAAATTACTTCATTGAACTTGTATTAGGTGGAAGTTTTTTCTTGCTCCTTCCTGTAAAACTTTAGATATTTGAGGGGAGGAGAAAGAACTAGTTAGACAAGTTAATCGGCTGTTTTATAGCTTTAATTCCTACCTTCTTCAAAAACCAAGGTGACCTTCCACCAGCTTGCTGCTTTTAGATCCCTGAGGTCTCTAATATGTATTTCTGCACTTTAGGGGATCTGACCACCATAATCCTTCACATTTTTATCTATCTAAGAAATAAACAATGTGGAATGCTTGGAAATTATCAATCTCTCTGTTTTCTCCTGCTTCTTCCAGGTACAGAGCACCTCTGTCTTTCGTGTTTCTTCTCTCATGCATTCTGTAACTTGCTATCGCTCACGAGCTTTGGCACAGAACAAATTTATGTCTCAGCAAACACAAATTATTGCCCAACTAGTAATGGGTTTTGGGGTCATTTATAAATAATTGAAACCATGAATGTTAAATTCTTGAAAGCCAAGGGTCTACCCTATATCAATATTTCATGGAGTTCCATAAAAAGCATTAAGAATTCTAGCTTTTGTGCCTCTTAAAATATATTTGAGAAGTTCTGATCCATAGTATTGATAGCAGTGACTTTAACATTCTTTTCTCTTTTAGAATAAATTAACACATTAAATGTACTTCTTGTGAGGATTTTTTAAATGACAAAATAATACATGATTATTGTCAAAATAGAATATTTAGAAGCGTGTAAAGAGTAAAAAACCTCAGTTTGCCTCATCCTTCTGTCCCATTGTCTTACTAATATTTTGGTTTCTAACTTAAATATTTTTATTTGGATTACACAAGTAAATGTACACATAGTTTTTAAAAAGTTAAATAGCATCATAGTATATTCTTGTTTAGCTAAAAACATCCTTAAATACGTCATTATTATTCCAGTGTTGCATAATGATACATACTAAGAATATTTAACCACTTCCTCCTAGTTGTGTCATTTTTTAAAAGTTGGAAACAGTGGGCGGCACCTGTGGCTCAAAGAAGTAGGGTGCCGGCCCCATACGCCAGAGGTGGCGGGTTCAAACCAAGCCCCAGCAAAATCCTCAAAAATACATATATAAATAAATAAAAGTTGGAAACAGAGTCTCTGTTGCCCAGGCTTGAGTGGTACAATGGCATCATCATAGCTTACTACAGTCTCAAATTCTTAGGCCCAAGCAATCTTCCTGCCTCAGCCTACCCCCATCCCTGCTCCCACCCCAAGTAGCTCAGACCACAGGTGTACACCACTACAACCAGCCAATTTTTCTGAGTTTTGCAGAGATGGAGTCTCACTATGTTGCTTAGGCTGGTCTCAAACTCCTGGCTTGAAGTGATCCTCCTGCCTCAACCTCCCAAAGTGCTAGGATTATGGTTAGAAGGCACTGTACCCAGCCTCTTTTTTTTTCTTTTTTAGAAACAGAGTTCCCTCTATCACCCAGGCTGGAGTGATCATACCTCACTGTAACCTTGAACTCCTGAACTCAAACTATCCTTCCACCTCAGCCTCCTGAGTGGCTGGGACTACAGGCATGTGCCACTATGCCTGGCTAATTTTTATTTTTTCATTTTTTTGTAGAGACAGGATCTCGCTTGTTGCCTTAGCTGTTCTTGAAGTTCTTGCCTCACATGATCTTCCTGTTCCAGCCACCTAACGCACTGAGACAACAGGTGTGAGGCACTGTGCCTGGCCTCTCTCTACACTGAGTGTGCTGGATATTGAGAGGATTTGTTTCCCTGTTGTCCCCAAACTGCTACTGAGGCCTAAAGCTGGGGACGAAAGTACTAAATATGAGTATTCCATATTTGAAAGGAGCTGCTAGCAGTGAGGACCAGCCCTTTCCCTGCGGGGCTTATTGAAAGATATAAGTAGTGTTTGCCATCCCACTCCTAGACTTGGTACAGAAGGCTTTAAGGCTTAGAGGAATGCAGTGTTTGTAGGAATGTTAGGGTGGAAAGCTCAGTAGGTGCTCCCTGAGGGATGAAAAAATAATTTCTCTAGACCAAGACTAGGATATAAAAGTTTAAGTTTATTTTATGTTTTAGATGAGCGGTTCTCAACCTCTGGGTCACAACCCCTTTGTAACAATGAAAATACATTGCAGCATTAGGAAGGTTGAGAACCACTGTTTTAGAAGGAGAAAGGGAATAAGAGAGGGGTAGAGAGTGGGAAGAGAGAGAAAGAGAGATGGCATGACATACCAAAGAAAAAAGGAATAAAAGAATGCCTATAGCTGAGGTCAAATGCTGAATTTGCTGAATTTAAGGGGAACAAAGATAAAAGATAATTGCAGTCAAATTGACTAGGCATTGTGGATGTGAATTTTATTTCTATTTTTCTTCCAGTGAGGTTGGAGTCTGACTTTTTACAGGTGTTTCTGATGCTGAAGCTAGATGTACCCAGCCCCATTGTTCAGTCCAGGGACAACTCAGGAGCCTTTAAGGCTATAGGAACAAATTCTAGAAGACAAAGGAGCTGGTGAAAGTGAAGAGAAGAATTGACATTTCCTTTCTGTCTGTTTTTTCAGTGGTTTGTGTAAAAGGAACTCCAGGGTGGGTGGGTGGGGAGTTACTAGGTAGAGAAAGAGCAGGTAGCAAGAGAGATTGACTTTAGTCCTTACTGAAAGACTGTGAGTAGTAACTACTGCCATTTCATTATAAAGACTGGTCATCTTTACAAGGGGAAGTTATTTCCTCTTTTTCTAAAATCAAGAGAAGAGTATGCTTTTAGAGAATTACTTAGAAAGTCTGAAAATGTCAACAGGAGCAAGACACTGGCACTTTATTGGACATCTGCTTAGCCAGTGGATTTGCTGTCCTACCCTATTGCTACCTGAACAAGGAAAAAGAAAATCAGGGAGGAGTGACCCAATAGGAGACTGTCAAGTAGGGAAGTGGGTCAGGATTGCCCATTCCCACTCTAGAGTTCCAGTCATTGCCATGTGCCAGTTGGTTCTGTTGTGGAGGGGGAGAAGATTTGGGTATAAGGGCGGAGCTTAGGAGCAAAGAGTATGTATTTTAAAAGGATGCAGCATGAATGCCACTAGCCAGAATCTCTCTCTGCTGAGTCTTTGGTCTCAGAGATTCTAGGAATGAATCCATGGGCCACCAAGTAAGTGAAAGGACAGATTTTATTGATAGATAAGTGAAAGAGAGGGATGGAACCTCCAGCAGCAGAGGGTGACCCAGGTGGGGACCCTCTTTGGGCCTTCAGGCTAGGGATTTTAATACTGCTTTTCCTTTCCTATGGGGTTTTGAGGAAATGGAATATATGTCTGGAATATGTCATAACTGTTTGGTGCCAGAGGTCTGTGGGCAGAAGTTAACTTTAAAAGTCAGGCGGTGCCTGTGACTCAAAGGAGTAGGGTAGCCCCATATGCCAGAGGTGGTGGGTTCAAACCCAGCCCTGGTCAAAAACTGCAAAAAAAAAAAAAAAAAAAATTGCCGTAGTCAGTCCTTGCTCTAGGTGAGCTCTTCTCTGCTCCAGGAGAGACAGTAGTGTTCATTGCTCCTAGAGAGGTAGCCCAGATGAGGTACTAGTTAGGCTGGTTTTTGTGAGCTTATTTGTGTTCAGAAAATACAACCTGCAAAGAGCCTATTTGTGCCTAGAGAATGAAGGTCTGAACCTGAGCCTGCTCAGTCCCTGTCCAGCCCTGAGTAGGGGAACCCTGTATCACCCCTAGCAGAGGGTCAGCTATAAGAGAGTTCAATGATTGCTTTTCGCATAAGTTATGGGTTATATGAAAGAACCATGATAAGACCTAGGTTTTTTTTTTTGCAAAGTCTTTAGTCAGATTTGATAACTTTTAAAGTTATATAACTTGCTACTTAAAAAAAAGAAAGTATATCAAAACACTTAAGTAATTAGTCTAAAAAAAGTTATGAGAATGACTTAAGAAATTTAAGCTATTGGATATATTATTATCAAGACCAACTTTTATCAGATCGCAGCCACCATACACGAGTCCTTAGTTATAACTGGGAGTGAACATTAATGTGTACCTGGTATATTGTTGTCACATCCTAGAAATGGTTACCAGGAGGACTGGGGTTTATCTTAGCCAATGTTTCTACTTCACAGTAGAAGTATATATATTAAGAAGTCATTTCTAACTGGATAAGACTAAGCTTACTTTTAAATTATAAAGGTTCTGCAATGCTAATGAGATTCAAAACACCTCTAATTTGATTAACATGAAACTTTTATTCAGACCATTTCAAAGGATCATAGCTTTTTCTGAGATGCTCATAATGTAACTTCATGCAAATTTTTCTGTGAGAGTGGAACAGTTCTTTTTTTTTAATTATAAAGAGGTAGATCACGTATTTAGGGGGTTCAACAGAACATTAATACATTTAGGGGGTACAATGTGCTGACTTCATGTACAGTTTGGAATGCTTACATTATACTGGTTAATATATCCCTCACCTCACTCATTTACTTAATTATTGTGTTAAGACATTTATAGTGGAACAGTTTTAACATTTAGCTATAGAATAACACACCCATATTTAGAGGGTAGAAATAAAATATTGCAGTAATTTGTAAGAAATTATAAGGATTGTGTAAGTTAAGAGCATGCCATGTTATGTAATATGATATTTAAGAGTTGTTTTGGGGAAAACTATATTCAAAAGTAAGAAAATGACTGCTTATGTTTCATTTATTTATTTATTTTTGGTTATTTTTCACTGAATGTCACTGTCATAAATTTTCTAATATCTGAAAATTGTTTACTAGTTATTAAACTACAGACACAGAAAATAGTGAAATTTGTAATAACTTTAATATGTTAATCTTGAAGTTTTAAAGATTTGCATATTACACAGATCTTTAAGTTTTGTGGTTTTGTGCTCAAATTTGTATATTTTTTTAAAAAGTGTTTCATTTATTTCTGTTTTTTTTCATATTCATTTTATAGGAAATGCCACAATCAGCTTCTTCAATTACTCTAAGTAACACAGAAATGAATAATATGAAGACTAATACACAAAGAAGTGAAATTACAATAGAGGAACTTGATAAGGTTTCTGAATGTAAAATCATCACTAAAGGCACACCAAGTAAAGACGATGGAGTAGTAAGCTGTTCTGAGAGTTGTTCAAGTGCCCAAGACAAGTCATTCTGGGATAAGGCTCAAGGATCTCATCCTGAGTCTAGTTCTGATTGCTCCAAGTCTGAAACTTTGCATGCAAAGTCAACTGATTCAGTTCTGCAAGGATCTAAAGAAAACCAGGTCAAGAGGACATCCTGTATATATGGTGCTAACTGCTACAGGTAAAGTAAAATTACAGGAAGAATATAATTCCATTATTTCAAATACAGGTAGCTATGTAGATATATGCAGTAGTATATTAAAAAACCTAATAAAACCCATCAGCTGAAAAGTTAGAGCTTTAACATGTTTCTGCTGGTTTGCACTTTCTCAGTGAGCATTGTAGAAAATACTGCCAGAGGCTTTTATGATACAGTGGGGAATTATATGTAGACATGCTGACTAATGGAAGGATCTGCATATTGAGGAATCCAGACTTGAAAATTGAATCCTTCAGACCTATCTACCATTTATTTAATCTCTTACTGGATATTAGAGAAATGCTATCATACATCATTGCTGTGTATAGTATAGCTATTAAGATAATTTTAGGCTGTGCTTGTGTATCTTATTATGCTTGTATACTTTTCTTTATATTTTTCTAATGGGACTCTGACTCAGTGTGAAACTTTGGAAACACCTAAATTAATTGGCTGATCCTATACTTGCTTCATTTAATTACCTTGTAGTTTATTTTCTAATTTTATATTTTGTGAATTTAAATTATAATCTCTAAAAAAATAAATTATAATCTCTTAGTTTTGAGCTATACTTTATAACAGGCGTCCTCAAACTACGGCCCATGGGCCACATGCAGCCCGCTGAGGACATTTATCCAGCCCGCTGGGTGTTTTTGTTGCCGCTGCCTGTCCTGCTTAGTAGCTGACTCGTCCTGGGGCCCGCAGTCCAGCCCTCCAATGGTCTGAGGGACAGTGAACTGGCCCCCTGTTTAAAAAGTTTGAGAACCCCTGCTTTATAATGTTGATGGTATCCTATTTATAATTTTGCAGCCCTATTTCAGAAGTTTTTCTTTGCTATTCCAACTTTTCAAACTGAATATCTTACTAATGCATTCTGGTAGTTTCTTGTCTTCTGTGCAGTGAGGTATTTATGTCAGATATGGTGTTAATTTCACACTTCCATTATTTCTCTTTAAAATAAATTGCCATTTTAGACCCTGAATAACAATATTCTTCAGTTTCAGCAGTTCTAATTTATGTACTTATACACAATTTTGTCGGTTTGCAATGGCTTTAGTTCCACATCTGAATGTCATGTAAAAACTTGTAGAACAGACATACTGTACATAAACTTTCTATCACTTTAGATTTTAAAAAATCCTATTTGGTATTCGTATTAGTTTACCAAGGCTGCCATCACAAAATACCACAGTCTAGGTGGTAGCTTAACCCACAGAAATTTATTTCTGGACGCTGGAAACCTTAGTGTAAGGTGTTGGGAAGCTTGATTTCTCCTAAGACTTCTCTCCTTGGCTTGCCAATGGTCACTTTTTCACTATATCCTTGCATAACCTTTTCTCGGTACACATACCTCCCCAGTATCTTTTTCTCATCGTATAAGGACACTAGTCATTTTGGATTAGGGCCTCACTCTTACATCCTCATTTAACCTTCACTATCTCTTTAAAGGCCCTGTCTCCTGATACTGTCGCATTGGGAATTAACTCTTCAACTTAGGAAATTTGTGGGGCAGGGGAAGGAACAGTATTCAGTACTGTTGTTTGTTTTTATTAAAAATGAGTAAAAGCTTTATCAAGATCATAATGAATTTACTCATTTGATAATGATACCTATTAGTTTTAATCAGTCTTAGCTTACAGTTAGCTTAAGTTGAATGGATAAACTAAATGTGGTATATACATACAGTGGGATTTTTCTTCAGCCTTAAAATAGCAGGGAAATTCTGAAACATGCTCCAGCATGGATGAACCTTGAGGACATTAAGCTAAGTGAAATAAACTGGTCACAAAAAGACAAATACTATGTAATTCCACTTGTAGAAGGTATCTACAGTAGTTAGATTCATAGAAATAGAAATTAGAATGGTAGTTATCAGGGTTAAAGGGAGAAACAAACTAAATTACAGTTAGCAAGGGTGGGGGAGGAGAAACAGAAATGAGAATGGTGGATACTAGGGAAGGGGAAGGAGAGGCTGGGAAGGTAGAGTATAGAGTTTCCATTTTGCAAGGTGAAAAAAATTCTAGGGACTCTACCTAACAAAATCAAATATTTTGACCTGGTTTGTATCCTCACATTTTTTTTATTTTTTATTAAATCATAAACACATAGATCATGTGTATAAAAATGCACTTATGCGGTACAGTGTGATTTCATATAGAATTAGGAATGCTTACATCATACTGGTTAATATATACTTCATCTCGTTTACTTAATTATTGTATTAAGACATTTATACTCTATACTTAATAGAGCCAACATGTACCCTTGCAATAAGCACCATAGGTGTGATCCCACCATTCACCCTTCCTTGATCTGACTTCCCCTCCCCTCCCCCCCTTCATCCTGGGCCATAGTTATGATCTATTCTTCATATGAAAGTGTGAGTGATTGTAAATTGGTTTCATAATAGTACTGAGTACATTGGATATTTTTTCTTCCATTCTTGAGATACTTTACTAAGTAGGATATGTTCCAGCTCCATCCATGTTGTAAAAGAGGTAAAGTCTCCATCTTTTTTAAGGCTGCACAATATTCCATGGTATACATATACCACAATTTATTAATCCATTCATGGGTCAGTGGGCACTTGAGCTTCTTCCATGACTTGGCTATTATGAATTGAGCAGCAATGAACAATTTGGTGCAAATATCTTTGTTATAAAGTGTTTTTTGGTCTTTTGGATATACATCTAGTAAAGGAATTGCAGGATCAAACGGAAGGTCTACTTTCAGATCCCTGAGTACTTCTTTCCAAAAGGGACGTATTAGCTTGCACTCCCACCAGCAGTACAGAAGTATTCTCTTTTCTCCACATCCATGCCAACATCTGTAGTTGTGGGATTTTGTTATATGAGCCAGACTTACAGGAGTTAGACGATATCTCAAAGTGGTTTTGATTTGCATTTCTCTAATGATTAAAGATGATGAGCATTTTTTCATGTGTCTGTAGGTCATGTGCCTATCTTCTTCAGAGAAGCTTCTGTTCAAGTTCCTTGCCCACCATGAAATAGGATTACTTGTTCTTTTCTTATTAATAAGTTTAAGTTCTCTGTGGATTCTGGTTATCAAACCTTTGTCAGAAGTATAACCTGCAAATATCCTCTCCCATTCTGAGGGCTGTTTTGCTTGCTTTACTTACTGTGTTCTTGCCTGTGCAGAAGATTTTTAATTTGATCAGATCCCAGCAATGTATTTTTGGTGATGCTTCAATTCCCTGGGGGGTCCTCCTCACAAAATATTCTTCCAGGCCAAGTTCTTCAAGTGTTTCTCCTATACTCTCTCTAAGAATCTTTATAGTTTCATGTCTTAAGTTTAAATCTTTTATCCAGTGAGAGTCAATTTTTGTTAATGGTGAAAGGTGTGGGTCCACTTTAGTCTTCTACAAGTCGCCAGGCAATTCTTCCAGAATCATTGTTAAATAGGGAATCTTTCCCCCAATTTATATTTTTGATGGGATTATCAAAGATTTAATGATGATAAGTATTTGGGTTTATCTCTTGGTTCTCAATTCTGTCCAATACAGCTACCTCTCTATTTTTGTGCCAATACCATGCTGTTTTGATCACTATAGATTTATAGTATAGTCTCAATTCTGGTAGTATGATTTCTCCTGATTTGTTTTTATTTCTGAGTAAAGTTTTGGCTATTTGAGGTTTTTATCTGGTTCCATATAAAACTAAGTACTATTTTTTTCCATATCTTTAAAGTATGACAGTGATGCTTTGATAGAGATTGCATTAAATTTGTAAATTGCTTTGGGTAATATGAACATTTTAACAATGTTGATTCTTCCCAGCCATGAGCATGGCATGTTTTTCTATTTGTTAACATCTTCAGCTATTTCTTTTCTCAGAGTTTCATAATTCTCTTTATAGAGATCTTTCACGTCCTTTGTTAAGTAAATTCCCAAATATTTCATCTTCTTTGGTACAACTGTAAAGGGAATAGAGTTTTTGAGTGTTTTTTTTGGCTTGACTATTATTGGTATATATAAAAACTACTGATTTGTGAGTATTGATTTTGTATCCTGAGATGCTACTGTTTTCCTTGATCACTTCTTAGAGTTTTGTAATTGAGTCCCTGGGGTTTTCCAGGTATAAAATCATATCTTTTGCGAAGAGTGAAAGTTTGATCTCCTCTGACCCTATTTGTATGCTCTTGATGGCCTTTTCTTGCCTAATTGTGATGGCTAAGACCTCCATTACAATGTTGAAAAGCAGTGGAGACAATGGGCAACCTTGCCTGGTTCCTGATCTGAGTGGAAATGTTTTCAATTTTACTCCTTTCAATATGATATTGGCTGTAGGTTTGCTATAGATGGCCTCTATCAGTTTAAGAAAAGTCCTTTCAATACGATATTGGCTGTAGGTTTGCTGTAGATGGCCTCTATCAGTTTAAGAAAAGT